GACACTCCCTATACCATTACCTGGAACACGGAGGCGGCTCAGGCTGATTCTGCCAAATCTGCCCCGTTTGCATCAAGCCAGCGTGCACAGTTTTGGGAGACGGCGAGGACCTGCTATTCTTCTCATCGCCACTGTAGTCCTTCTATACTTCGTGTATGCGCTACACAGGCGGTTTGGCACGGGAGAGCAATCTTGGCCGACACCTTTCCCTGATTCATCAACATTGGTGTACAGACGGGAGGACCTTCAGGAGATTTGGAAGTGGGAAGTTGAGGCGGGGCACTATCCCAGTAGTCACAGGAGTAAGTTAGCCCAGACCTCATGTGTAATGTCATATTGATTGTCTTCACAGTACCAGAGCAAATTGGTTTGCCCCAAGCACTGACAAATCCCGCTCTGCCAATACGAACGTCATCGTCCGTTCCCACACGATTCAGAGGGCCCATTGCAACTGACACAAATGGCGTGGGTCCCAAGCGCGTATACCTTGACCTGAGATCACATCCGCCCAATGTTGCTTACCCTCCCCGGCCAGTTCCTGGCAGCGTAGCGGACTTGGATGTCATAATGGAACACTGCAATTTTTCCACTAATAAGGTTCGTTTCCTCAATATAGCTAAAGGTTTCTCCACTAACACACTCGGCGTGGCAGTATGTTCGCGATTGCCTAGAGGTGCTCAGGTACGGCGGTGGCTTGGAACTTGGCGCGCGTGTAAGGCGGGGTAAAATGGACAACTGGAAGTATATCTACGTGGAGGACAGTGCGGAGAACATGACAGATTCGTCTGCGTACGTCAGGCCGTTCGCTTTGAAAGCCCAGAACGATATCGACCCGGCCCAAGACCTGCCCAAGAAGCGAGGGGCGGACTGGGAACCTCATATGCACCTGTCGTCGCCCCCAAAATATATCCCTTACAAGGACCAGCCGACTGTCTGTGATGATGAAAATCCCCGCGTCTACCATATGTTCTGGGCTGGACCTTTCACCGACAAGCCGTATCTTGCGTTGATGTCTTTCCTGTACACACAAAACCTGGGTCTCCATCTCGACGATGGAAAACCGGACCCCGCCGTTTGCAGGCCGAAGTTCTGGCTATGGATCAACCCAGGTCCCGCCGCCTCTGTCCCCAACCCTAGTGCCGTGCGAGACATGTACGATCAGTTGAAGTCTAACCCCTGGGCTTCGCCATTCCTTCATCCACGATTCAAGGATGTTATACAATTCAAGCTATGGAATACGACTGAACAATTAGACGGCATTCCCGAGTTGAAGGACGAATGGCGGGCACTTCGAGACAGTTTGTTCAACTCTGGCGGCTACGTGGAGAAGATACCTCAACAAGACGAGGAGGAAGTGACTACGGAGTCAGAAAGCGGGGGGTCAGGCAAGGCGGATGATACAGGCGTTGCGCTTCCCGCAGTGGCTCCTACGAAGGCCAAGAATGCCGACGGTAAAGCGAACAGAGTCGGTTCGACGTCAGCCTCGTCATACGATCGGCTATCAGTCATTCTTTCCGATATGGCTCGGTTCATACTATGCCATCGTTTCGGTGGTATATATCTAGACGCAGACACCATCTTGCTTCGTGACTGGGAGGAGCTATGGGGCTGGCGGGGTGCTTTTGCCTACCGATGGTCGCGATTGGAGAAGTATAACACTGCTGTCCTCCGTATGAACCGCAATTCAGCGTTGGGAACGTTCCTGTTCCGTACGGCGTTGAAGAACGGCCTGGACTTCCACCCCATGAGTGTTTCCAAGTACACAAAAGACGCTTACCTGGAAGGTTTACTGCTACGATTACCCGACGCCCTCTTTGATTCCGCCTGGTTGAACACGGAACAATACCAGAGAGATCGCCCACCTCAGCCGTATTTCACAGGGTGCGATTTCATATCCATCTATTCGGACTTCCATTTTGACTGACTTGCTACAGCTTTGCGGATTTCTTTGACACTCCCGTGCAGAACAGCGCGGCACCACAGGCTCTCGGATTTGATGGCTTCTTCAAAGGAGCGTACTCCTACCACTTCCATAATTTTTGGTATGTGTACATAGATTGCTTACGCTTGCTGGACCGTGTCTAATGTTCTCCCTAGGTGGAGACCATTTGATCCGTCAAGAAATTTCCCAGACTTGGGGTCCCGTTTCGCGGCTGGCGAACGTATCGCGCGTGAATCCCTCGCGGCAGCTGCGTCTACAAAACTGCCAGATCTCGAAGATGAGCAAGTGGATACGGACAAGCGTGACCTGGACTGGGCCACAGTGCTCAAGCGGACATTCGAAGCTTACGTCCGTGGCGAGCGTCCTAACATGTACGGGGAGTGGATTAAGTGGTAACACGAGACACCGAATCCCCCACCATGTTCCTTTTCCACCGCTGGTGCTGCGCGCTAGTAGCTTACGATGCCATCCCACCCGTGACGCTCCTCATTTGCAACGCTGTGACACCCACTCTCTATCGGGTTTGGATTTACGACGCGTTCTATATCGCTGGCATTCTCTCCCCCTGAGATATTTGTGTCCTTCCACTCTCACGTCGTGCTCTCGCCTTTGAAACCATATTATGTAAACGGCCGCGGTACGAGAGATATATATACCTTATTCCTACATTAGTACACGACCCCGAATATTAGACTCGCTGATGGTTGTTCTTGGGTGCTTGGTTGTGAGGTGATATAGCTGCTTTAGCAAGCGCTGCCTTACGATAAGTTGCAATATGATACAAAGGTTGATCGGTAGTGCACCGATGACCGTGACTGCGACTCCGCCCTCGTAGGTGTTTATTATGCGTAATGTAGTACACCCGTGTCCTACTTCATCATGATATGGCTTGATCCTGACCACCCATGGTACGACATCATCAACGGTTGGGTGGACAAGTCGGCGGTGGAGGAACGTATTCCTTCAGTCGACGTGGAGCATTGTTGTACACCTGTCTTAGTGTCAGCATTGTTATAACGAGGGGAAAGTGGGTAGCAAAGGTTGAGTTGGACGTACCGAGACCTAAACATGAGATGGCAGACAAGACGGTGACGGCAGCCGTGGACAGGATGATGACGGTGAAGCTCATAGTGGCGGCGAACGATGGTTGAGTTTGTTTGTGGGATTCCAAGTTTCGTTTGAGGGCATTTTATACTTTCCACAAGAGAGGGTGTGTTCCGGGATATAAAGATTGTCAGAGACTCCTTTGTCGCTTTCACCGTTGCTTGAAACACGAGGTTCTCCAGCTCAAAGGCGTGTTTCCTTTCAACTTTGTCTTCTGGACCGAAACGAGGAGAGATCAGTAAACTGCAAGCTGGCAGTCCAGACTTCGTAACTTCCTTGAAGCAGTGTCAAGCCACACCACGGTATAAAGACATAAAAGACACACGAACACAGACAAGATGTCAGTCGTTTGGACTGTAGTCATCGAGCAGACTTACCAGATTACCTGAGTAAAGGAAATGAATACAGCACCTTTCTACGCCCAGAACCGCCTTTGTGGCCAATGGACATCACATCGCCAACTCTGTCGATCACTTCAAGCTCGTCGTCTTTGTTAAATTGCCGATAGACTTCCCCTTTCCCTTGGATCTAGCAGGGGATCATCCATGGCAGGATTGGTGTCCTTTGTCTGCTCTGTCCGCCTCGACCCCTCGGCTGAGCGACGCACGCTGGAGTGTTCCCCAACACGCAGTGGACTTCGATGCCCGTAGGAAGCAGTGCCACCATCGCTCATAAAAACGATGAGCAACATCATGCACTCGAAACTCCTTCATCACACTTGTTGTCTTAGGGAAGAGCCTCTGCGCTCTGTTTCGAGTACGACAACCCGTTCCTTGGGCATGCGCCGTCCGAGGATGATGATTGCGTGACATGTCGTTGTTTTCAAAAGACAAGAGAATAAAGACGAGGTGAAGTCAGGGAGAAGAGCCTGATATGAGAAATGATGTATCAGAAGCCTCTCGTCTTGCTCAAGTCTGGCTTACGGCGTTATTAACTGAAGGGGCTCGCCAGCTAGTCTTTCGTCGCGGAGCCATCTTCCTCCTACTTGCATTGCGGAAGCTCTTAGCCCTGATCGTCCTTGTTCGACTACAAGGCCTGAGAGCCTTTAACGTTCTCACCTTTGAACAGTTTCTTTGGCATATATACGGTGTAGCACGGCGCACTCGTCGCGGGTCCATGTCTAATATATAGCCGATTTCAAGTCTTCGCGAATGGCTGTTAACCTGGACATCCATCCGCCCGTAAGCCTGCGTTACTTCATGCATCACTCTCACCACGACGTGCTCGGTGAGTACGTTGCGTACCGTTGTCTGTGAGGCGGACCGCTGCCTCATTAGCAGGCCTGGCTGCCTCGACGGAATGGTGAGAATCGTATGAGCCATTATAGAGGTCAGGAGGTCAGGCAGTCAAAATTGGTGTCACTCGGGCGTAAGAGGCCTGCATTTTCGCGGTCCTACGTGTGCCAACTTCTGGATTTCGGATCAACGAAAGTTGTGAGAACTGCCTCGTCGAGCATTCTGCAGAGCAGGATAGGGCTAGGCGTTGTCCCGCTATTGAGAGTCGTGAAGCCGTGAGCCTTTTGTGAACGAGGGACAAAGGTACGTCTAGACATACCTACCAGTGCTTATAAGTGAACGTGGCTGGAAGTTGAAGCCAGTCGTTTAGCTACCTGAAGATCCTTCGGCCACGCACTATGAGCAATATCGGGAGCAAAACGAGACGCAATTCGTGCAAATTGATGGCCAACACAGTAACATAGTGTCCTACAGTTACTCGTGCAGATCAAGCCAAATTTGGAGGACTGAGGCCAGCTTAGATGTGCTTGTTCGCTTGAGAACATACTAGTAGCTGGAAAGACGGCAGGCGTACGTAATGGCTTCGAATATTTGATAGTGTGATAGTTGTAGTTTGGCAATGCCAGTCGACGTTCTGCACATTTCTACTCGATCAATTGCAATAGTGGTGGTATTTGTGCTTTGTACTACATGAAGCCAACACATCACTGTGTTACCATGGCAAGATGGCCGAGTGGTCTAAGGCGCGTGACTCAAGCGATTACAAAGCTTGCCAGCATGGCTGGTTTCTCGTAGGGCAACCTGCGTGGGTTCGAATCCCACTCTTGTCAGATACTTTTTCCTGCCCTCCCATTGATACTTACAGCACCACAGGTCATCCTAGATGACCAATAAGTCCATGTATGTGCCTTCTCGCAGTTCACAAGGTCAAGTTTGCGCTCAGTACACACAATGAGAGGGAGGTAGTCAGACGGCTGCAGACAAACTGTCTTTTGGCGAGCCGTCGACGGATCGTAATTGCTACAATGGTATGGTAGACCCCTCTATGTATGTAGCAGAGAGTTTTGGTAAGTACCGCTAACAGCAAGTAGCTAGACAAGAAAGCCAGTAACACATCGCACTAATGTAAGGAATCGTAAGCATAGAAACTTAAAAGAAAAATACTACATGAGAGCCATATCGAGAGAACAAGCGACATCTGTTTGGGTAGTCCGGAACCGGAAGATACGACGTGTTATACGGCGACAGTCACTTTGTTCGTACTGCCGTCCTTGGTAGCTGCAGCGGCCTGTGCTTGCGCGACAGCAGCCTTTGCCTGTTTCTTCTTCTCCTCCACCTCCTTCACTCGCTTCTCCAGCTGTGCTGCCGTTGAGGCCTTATTGTTGAAAGTGACGCTCTTGTTGTGGCTAGCAGTCGAATCCGAGACGTTGTTCGCTCCACCTGTTATGCCTAGACCGCGGTGGAATGTTGACGGTAACACACCGCGTCCTTCGGGATGCTGGAAGGGGCATGTAGCTTTTGTGCAGGCGGCGCCGAAGCGACACGGAGTGCTGTTTTGACGCGCAGGATGGAGGAATGAGCAGCCTGGCCGTGTGCACGATGCACCGAAACGACAAGGTACTTGAGACTGCGTAGAGGTGTGGGAGTGCACGGGGGTGAAAGCTGGTGCTCTCGGATTGAGTTGCTCAGCTATGACCAAAAGCTCGTTAGAGTCTCTTTGATGAGCACGACGGACAATCAACTGACCATTAGGCTTCAAGACCGCTGGACTGACGTGTGCTTTCACGCAATCTTGGTCTTTACAATCTTTTCCAGCCTCGCAGGCTTCGTTGCTGAGCACAACACCACTTTCCGGAGTGGCGACAGGAGAGGGATGAGAATACCTACAGGCGGCATTCGTGCACTTGAGGCTGAATTTGCAGAGGGTCGGTGACTGAGGTCGCTCGGGAACGGCAACGCTGTTCCGACCTTGTGACACAGATGGGGTGAGTTGCGGAGCAATATTGTGGGCAGCAGGCGTGGGCGTCGGTGCAACAATTGCTGGAGCAGGCTCGTGCGGCGTTGACGACGAGAGTTGCGGCGCATTAGCCGTAGGCTCAGAAGAAGTATTACCTGAGCCTGGCGTGTGTCCACCGCGACCTCGTCCACCGACACCCCTTGGCCCTCCCCGTCCCCTGCCCCTTCCTCGTCCATCGTGACCATGCTGTGTTGCGCCATTCATCCCATTGCTCATTGCACTCATATCCCCGCCCATGCTAGGTGGCCCCTGAAACTGCCCGTTCATGCCCATTGCCGGGTTGAGTAGACCCATTGCACCTGCCATCTGCGCCATCATCGCCATTTGACCCATCATCATCTCCTGCAGCATCATCGGGTTCGCCATCCCTCCCATCGCGTTCATGTCCATCCCTGGCATGCCGTTCATGGGGAAACCGTTCGGCTGCATCATCATCATGTCGGGAGCAGGTGGGCCAGTAATGCTGTCGATACGAGCTTGGATGTCGTCGTGTGCGCGGCCGTTCCTTGAAGGACCCATACGGTCTATCAGACTTCTTGAGTTGCTCGGTCCACTACCGTCCCGCTGCTGCATCGCACGCGGTGCCGTTGGCAGGTCCATCCGTCGGGATTTGCTAACATGACCGGATGGCGATGGTGTCCTTGCTGATGCTGTTCTTTTGTGCCCCGCCGGAGACGAGTTGGGCAGAGCTTGCGCCATGGCCTGTCGGTACGGTCGGCTTGAAGTCTCGTTCGTCACGTGAGGAGGGTCGTGGCGAACTCTCGATTGAGTTGTTGTTGCTGGTGCTGCTTCAGGCACCGCAACCGGCTGCTCTATCACTGCCTCGGGCGCCCCTTTTGCCACCTCCGCGAAGAGCCAGTCGACGAAACTTGGGTCTAAGCGTCGTATGGGTTTAGATTCTAGTGAAAGGCAGTGCATATAACATACCAAAGTCTGATCCAATCACTGCAAATCTATATTAGTATCAGTCAGAGAGGAAATTAAGGAAGAACTGACAATCCTCGAGCTCGGAAGATATTTGAGCTGTGCAACAGTCAATGACCGTATCCTCTACGAGGTAGAAGTTGGACATACCAGCTGTTTTGTTGTTTATGACCATGATTGTGATGTATTCCGCCATGACAGGATCTTTGAACGGAGCATGAGATGACGCAGCTTCAATGGACAGAACTAACACACCTGCGTCGACACTGTAGCCCCGTTTTGTGAGTTCATCTTGCACTGCGTTCTGCAGCACGGAGTTAGAAGGGGTGTAACAACCAGATGCAAGTAGCATACCTGTAGAGTGGTAGCACGCTCAGTTCCAATTGTCAGGCCGAACGCCATAATAAGGGGGCCAAGTACGAAGGTGGTGAAGGTGTTGGAAAGAAGTGTTCGCAGACCTGGTGGCTTCCGACGCAGTGGAAGCGTGTGACAAAGCGTGACAGGTAATCAGTAAATGTCGTGATATATGTGACATGCCTCTAACAGACAAAGCTTATTCTGTGACATGCTGGTAACAAAAGAGCTTTTGCTGTGACTGCGCCATCAGTAAGCAGGACCCCTTTCAAAACGCGATGACTGGACCTGCCAATCAACAGTCGCACTCCTCGAGGCCTTGGTCGTGCTGCTCTTGCTTGTCTTCATCTCTGACTCCCGCTTTGACCTTGCGATATTGATTTTGAATCAGCTATTCAACAGAATCGTGATATCTGCCAAGACACTGAGTGTGGGGCGACGGTATTGCCGCTGCCAGTGCCGTCAGTCACAAAGCTTGAATGGTCGGAAAGCGTCTCAAACTCAACACCTTTTTCTCCGCCTTCAGCATAACCCATGAGACCTATTGTTACTTCGACCCGTCGTTTTGCCTCCTCAACACCAGCCTTTCGTGAGCTATTTCGCCACGTGGGGCACGCGTCTCCCAGCTACACGCGCCCTCAGCCTCACGCAGTCAAGTATTCGATCCGCTATGTTTCATACTCGCCCATCTGGCACAACCAGGCGCAGAAGCCGAAAGAAAAACTGCAGGATACTACAGCGGAGGCTGAGAAAGCCGATGAGCCACCAGGAGTAGTCTCACCGCAGGTTGGGCCCTCTATAGGGGGGTATGGTGGGGGTCCGTTCACCACTGGGTCAAGTGCTGCCGACACTTTGCTCACAACCGCGGTTGGATTGGCTATGTGTGAGTATACCAACCAAGCTTATATACAACAAAAATGTTGCATAGACGCATATAAGATCTATGCATAGTTTCTTGCCCGAGGCTATTAAAGCAACTCTGTGCAGTTGACTAACGCTTCACTCACAGTGTTCTTCGGTGGTGTTGGATATGTAGCATGGTACAAATGGAACGTCCTCAACAAGGTACTTTTCGTAGCACTCTTTGTCGAAGCCATAACTTACCTGGCATTATAGATGGGACAGGCGTTCTCTGCAGGTTATGACCCTGCGATGGAACTCGCCAGCCGTGCCAAACGTTACGAAGACGCGAAGGAAAATCAAGAACCACTGTTATGGGATACCGACACCCCATGGACAGAGCATTTACGCCGCAAGGATCAGGACCAGATGGACCGCATCTTGCACGGCAAAGAAATTGGACATTATTTCTTGCTACTTGGACCGAAGGTCAGGCTTGCTACGGACTGAAGTTCTCATGCGACATTGAATGATTGTTTCACTCGCATATATTTTTAGGGCACAGGGAAGACCACTATGTTGTATGATGCTATGCAAGCCACCCGCGCAGAGGGCGTTTCGATATGCGAAGCCCATCCCGATCTTGAAGTGTTCCGCCTGCGTCTCGGCAAGGCATTGAACTTCGAATACCACGAGGACTCACAAACTGGCTTATTCCAACGTCGGGATCCGCGAGAAGGTACGCTACATGCTTTGAAAGAACCCTGCTGCACGTGGTATCTGACCAGCAGGTTGCAGGAGGTGCTGCTCTTGATATCGAAAGAGGTTAGTCGACCGTAGTCTGCCACTTCGAGTAAGGGTTGTCAATATGACGATGGCAGCCCTCAACAAGCTTGAGAAAGTAGCGTTGCGATATTCCGACAAGAATAAGAGGCCCTTGGTCCTGATATTGAACAATATCCACTTCTTCAAGAATGATGCGGATGGTCAAAACATTCTCCTGCAATTCCAGCAACGGGCAGAGGCGTGGGCTGCGAGTGGTTAGTGTCAAACAACCAGGCTGTGGCCTAAGACTTACACCCATTGATATAGGGATTCTCACTATGGTATTCAGCTCGTAAGTGTGTAAACAGCATCAGAATGTGATGTTATGACCTATCAGCACTCCAGGGATGATTTCTGGCCGTTCCTTTCCATGCGTAAGTGGCGAGGATGACAAGTTGTATACACTCACTCACCTCAATCGTCAGGCAAGACTGCTAGTCGCATGCACGTACGTCTGACTATCTTTTGAACGTTAGTTCTCTGAACTCTGAGGTCCTCAAGGTTGTTTCCGTGAAAGACCTGAGTGCCAGAGAGGCACTGCATGCTTCTGTGAAGTTGCGTAGGAGTGCCGGGCGGTCCATGGACTCAGAGGACGACTTCAAGAAGGCGATCAACATTGTTGGCGGACGTTTGTCGTATCTTACCAAGGTTGCCAAAAGCCCCGACATGCTTGGATACGCACGACATATGCTTGACGTGGAAAAGGCGTGGTTGACAAGTCAGATAGGCCTCATTCCAGACCATGACGACGATGTCATGGACGAGGTTGGCCTTTCGTATTTTATCGTACTGAATCAGCGAAGTTCACTGCCCTTGCGCCAAACAGCAAAAATGGAGCTCATGCTCATGGTTGCTCCTTCGAGAATTCGT